ACATTTGAACTATATTTCTTGGGTGTTAAAAGGCAGCAAACTAACTATAGCATTGTGCTTATTTAACTAAGAATTAAGTACGAAAGTTCTTGGATGACATATCTTAATTTTAGGAATTTATGTTACCGCCATCTTCGACATTTTTTTTAACCCTTTGCACTCGAATGGTGACTCCGAGGCACCACTAAAATTTGTTATATTACGTTTCAAGATAATTTTTATATTAACAAAATTTTGATTTAAAAGATTGTTAAGAGTGTAACTGTTGTGCCAGTCGCAAGTGTCAATTTCATATATATATATTATTATATTATTCATATATATTCATATATTATATAATATATATATAATTTTAGATTTTAACCCTTTGCACTCGAAGCTATTTTAACTCTAAATATAAAATCATTTTTCTAACTTATAATATTTCTATATATATATTTCTATATATAATATATATAATGTAATATATTATAATTATATTATATTATATATAATATTTTATATTTAGAGTTAAAATAGCTTCGAGTGCAAAGGGTTAAAATCTAAAATTATATATATATTATATAATATATGAATATATATGAATAATATAATAATATATATATATGAAATTGACACTTGCGACTGGCACAACAGTTACACTCTTAACAATCTTTTAAATCAAAATTTTGTTAATATAAAAATTATCTTGAAACGTAATATAACAAATTTTAGTGGTGCCTCGGAGTCACCATTCGAGTGCAAAGGGTTAAAAAAAATGTCGAAGATGGCGGTAACATAAATTCCTAAAATTAAGATATGTCATCCAAGAACTTTCGTACTTAATTCTTAGTTAAATAAGCACAATGCTATAGTTAGTTTTCTGCCTTTTAACACCCAAGAAATATAGTTCAAATGTAATTTCAGTTTTTTCAAATGGCACCAAAGTGTTACCACCGGCATACAACAGATAGCTTTGGCATGGCACCAGCGTGGTGCCACCGGAGAGGGCATAGCGTGTTAATTAAAAATATTCCAACAACAACAACACAGTTTCTAACCCGAGAATCGACTCGACCGAATCCAAATCGAAATTGATTCCACGCGCATCGACTCGGAACAGAGTTACCGCAGGCGAGACGGAAACGGAATTGATATTGACGCGTGAAATAATAATCGCGCGAGGCGAGCAGGTTCGCCATGGAACAGCTGACGACCTGTTTTAGCCTCTTCCTTGTTTGCTACGAAGTTGAAAAAAGTTTTCAGGTCGAACAAAGCACGGCTGCATAGGAAATCAGATCGCGAATAATGCTTCAGTTTGATTCAAGCTCGTTCGTTCTTGCGACTTAACCGGCTATAGTTCTGGCTTACCGGTGTCCTTGTGCTTTCTCTCGTCGCGCGACGTCTCCCGAATTGTTCCGGACGCGTTTCACTCGTGTTCCTCGCGGGTACTCCGCGCGGTCGGCCGTCGAAAATGTAAACAACTCGGCCGTCGTCCGTGAAGGATCGGCGAATTCAATCCGAGACTGTTCTCGCCACGGCGAGGTGGTCGCAATCGTCGGCTTATCAACTTAGCCTTCGTCGTCGAATAAACAATACGCAAAGTATCCTTGTTTCCCGAGCCTATAGCATATCACCAGCGTATGCACGACTCGAGAAAAAAAAATATTCTACGGCACGTGTGCGCGAGCGACAGATGGCGAGGAGAACATCGCTTTCGAATCGATTCGTTCAACACTCTCAATGTCACATTTAATAACGCGGAATGCACGACACAATCACTGCGCAGTTTTCAACCACGGGGAAAGCTGCGATTCTATTTTTTTTTCAACCGTCGATATTAGCTGATTGGACGATCCTCGGCATTTCCGCGAGCCGATTTATTGGCCGTTTTGCCAATCAATTTGTTGCGCAGGTTTTCCGGCACGATTGCGTGCGGAAAAATAAATTCTGCCGCTGTGCGGATAAACTGGTTCCGCACTCCATTTGGTTACCATCATCGTGGTTACTGTGCAGAGAACAAGCTCTCCGACTCTCTATTTCAAATGGTATATCAGCCGCACGAGTTTCCTTATTTTATTATTAGACCGCGCATCCTTATGCAAATCTCACATTCCTTTGGTTATTTAATGAAAATCAGCGCCAGAGAAAAATTCCTTTCACTCGGACGCCACGAATCCATAAACATCCGCGTTCTGTTCACTATGCTGCACAGTGCGACGTTTCAGCAACATAAGTGGACACAGATGAATTTCGATCGAGGTGCAGATCTGTAAAATCACAGATTCGATACAATATATTTGAATTTCGGTGAAGAGTGAACACCAGGTTTCCAGAAGCCGTGAAAATGACAAGTCTAAAATTTCATAATTTACGATTCTTGAGATTGTACAATAGATTTGTTACTTGCGGCAAATATTACGATAAAAATCGTCAAAATTCTGAATAGATACGCTATTGTCACATTATGAAATAATATAAAATAACAGTTTTTAGTACTCTGTAAAACTTGTGTTAGGAAACTTTACATGTCGTTAACATTTGCGTAAAATCTGACATTTTAACAAATATACGTGTTATTGAATTAAAAGTACATATCACAGCGAAGCATGCGACACTGCGATATTGTTTTATTTAGTGGAAATAATAAAAATGAACAATCTTCAGCGTGCAAAGAATTTACGAGACTTATAAAACGCATTTATTAAATTTTCGTTATAGGCTCGGATAAAACAAAGTTGAAAAAAAGACGAGAGTTCTTTTTATTATTTTGCCACTCCAAGTAGTAGCAAAATTGAAACAAAAATAGTTTAGCCTAGCACAATAGCCTGTCATCTAAAAGAAAGAAAAAATTCAAATCGTTTGGTCCAGTTCGAAAGAAAAGTTAGCGCGTCTTGAAAAGTGTCCGAATATTAATGAGAGTCGCTGTATGCCCCGACAGATTGGTAAAGTGTAGCAGGCTGTCCACGGAACCGACAAAAGCCACCCCCGAGACATTAATCGGCCGTAACCACGAGCGGCTCTCTAATTAATCACCGTTGTCTGGTGTTTTCTTTTGCAGCGTGTGCTCGCAACGTCCATCGCGGGAGGAGGGGGTAGGTGAGGGTCGGCAGCAGCAGCAACAGCAGCAACAGCAGCACAGGACAGGGGAGGTGTTCCCGGACACCGAAAGCTGGGGCACCCTGACGCGGAGGTCCTGGCGGAGGAGGTGGCACGCAGGAGAGAGGAAAGAAAGGAGGTGACCATCCACCCCACATGGACGCCACCCCCAAAGGACCCCCCGTACCCCCCACACCGGACATCCTGTCATCACTATTTAGCCGCGGAATATCCGACCTGAACTTGACGCGCCGTGGTCAGCGTTACCGTCGTCTATCGGGGCATCATCCGTCGCTTGATGCTGGTCGTACGACGGAAACGACCGCCTACGCGTCACCGTCGTCATCATCTTGCACGTGCCTCTACCGTTTTTCACGGCGCGAACCGAACCGACCGACGAGGCCTCGCGGTCCCAGCCGCGTCTCGAAGATCGGACCAGGCCGCAGGCGAGGCTCGATCGTCGTCGTCATCGCGCTCGGGAGCGGTTCGACAGCGACGCGCGACAAGTCCGAGGCGAACCATAACAGTTTCCGGTGTCGATCAGGGTCGGGAGCCGGAAGACCGGCGACGAACACCGGCACGCCGACCATCCTAACGATATTACTGTACCTCCCGTCGGCCACGGACAGGAGAACGATAGCAACAGGAACCACGTTTTTTACCCCCGTTTTTACACCCAGGCTAAGGTGCCACGCGTTTGATGCATTTTATACGACGACGCCAGCCGACGACCAATCCCATCGCGCCAGGAAGCTACGTCTTCTGAGAGGCGTCGACTTCCCCGTCAAACATATCTACAGACTCCGTCCAGAAGCGCCTAACTCCGTGCCGCAGCCTAACCGAACACGCGAACAATGTCGCGCAGCGCTGCCACGCGTCCTATGGAAGGTGAGTGGAGTCTCTGGTCCCATTTCATTAATTGCTATGCGCCGCGCGGACGGAGATCATCGCGCGCTAATCTCCGACACCTGACGACGGTGTGCCGACGTATTCTCATTATAATAATTTCGTTGCGATCAATGATTCTCATTCACGGTGGTGTTTGCGCCGGTGAGCGCGTGCTCGACGCGATTAAGCAGCGATAAGTACCGCGCGAATCGTTAACATCTTCGCGTGGGAGATCCGGAATAATTGCTACAGGTAGAGCAAATCGAAACGTTTTATTGTATCCCTGTATACAGGCTGTCCCGAAAATGTCTCGCAATCCGGAAATGGGAGGTTTCTGAAGTCATTTGAAGCAACTTTTTCCTTTGCGAAAATGTTCTCCGAGGCTTCGTTTACGAGTTATCAACGAAAAACACTGACCAATGAGAGGCGAGCTCGGCTGGCGCGCGGCGGCCCAGCCAACGAGTGCACGGAGCCCAGTTCCGCTCATTGGCTCGGCCGTCTCGCGCCAAATGATCTCGCCTCTGATTGGTCACTGTTTTCCGTTAATAACTCGTAAACGAGGCCGCGGATTGCATTTTCGCTAAGGAAAAAGTTGCTTCGAATCACCTCGGGGATCCCCTACTTTCGGACTGCGAGACATTTTTGGGACACCCTGTATACATATCCCTTGTCGAGGATTCACATTAGTCTCGTCGACGATCAATCCGTCGTTCACCGACCATGTTAGATCGAAGGTCGTCACGTTGGAACCACGTGTGCAAGTTCTCTCTACGGGAAGAAATCGTTTATTTGTCTTCGGCAGGCTAATCTCCGCGGTGTTGCCCTAATGGAAGTAATGAACGTTTCGTCGCGCGAAAATCATCCAAACATTCTCACCGTCCTACGTGCGCGGAAATGTTTTCCTACCGCGATGTTGCTTCGGCCAGATCAATGATTGGGGGTGGGAGGTGTTTATTAACCCTTTGAGGCCGGATGTCGGCATACCGACGACGTCAGAACTATACATCTTGTCCTAGAAGCGGCACTCGTACGATTCGATTGTAATTGTAACCGAAAGACTGGAATATATTGTGCATTTCTTTTATTATTTAAATCTTTGCCGCGTAATTCATTTCCACGTGGAGAACGTTCTTAGTGTATGTAGAATTCTCGACCGCGGAGGGTTTATAAATTTACATATCTGCATCGGTAGGATTTCTTGATAATAGTGCGACGCAACTCCCTCGTTTTAACCTTTTGCGCTCGAGTGGTGACTCCGAGGCACCACTAAAATTTGTTGTATCACGTTTCAAGATAATTTTTATATTAACAAAATTTTGATTTAAAAGATTGCTAACAGTGCAATTATTGCGCGAGTCCCAAGAGTCAATTTCATTGAAAAAACTGAAATAACATTTGAACTATATTTCTTGGGTGTTAAAAGGCAGCAAACTAACTATAGCATTGTCCTTATTTAACTAAGAATTAAGTACGAAAGTTCTTGGATGACATATCTTAATTTTAGGAATTTATATTACCGCCATTTCATATCTAAGATCTGCGGACGGCATAGTATTAATATTACAAGAGATAATTTTAACAGGTCGATAGTAATGCAACAGTATTTTGAAACTCTCCGAATCTATTCAGGGTTTTTCATTTTATTTTCTGATTTTTCTCGTAAATGCTATAAAATAATAGTGTATTTTATTCAAGATAAGAATAGTAGATAACGATTCTGCAGGTTGAACAATTGTACATGTATTGATTAAACGACGAGGCATTGTAATCGAGACAAATTGAACGTCATCCTGTTTGAAATTAACCTTGGATCTCTAAGGGCTGAAACGGGGTAGCGTTGGAATAACAAGGAAGGAGGTCGACGGTTGGAGTAGTTAGGAATTTATTTATTTTATTTTATATTATATTTTATTATATATTTATTTATTTTAGGAATTTATATTATCGCCATCTTCGACATTTTTTTTAACCCTTTGCTCTCGAATGGTGACTCCGAGGCACCACTAAAATTTGTTGTATCACGTTTCAAGATAATTTTTATATTAACAAAATTTTGATTTAAAAGATTGCTAACAGTGCAATTATTGCGCGAGTCCCAAGAGTCAATTTCATTGAAAAAACTGAAATAACATTTGAACTATATTTCTTGGGTGTTAAAAGGCAGCAAACTAACTATAGCATTGTCCTTATTTAACTAAGAATTAAGTACGAAAGTTCTTGGATGACATATCTTAATTTTAGGAATTTATATTACCGCCATTTCATATCTAAGATCTGCGGACGGCATAGTATTAATATTACAAGAGATAATTTTAACAGGTCGATAGTAATGCAACAGTATTTTGAAACTCTCCGAATCTATTCAGGGTTTTTCATTTTATTTTCTGATTTTTCTCGTAAATGCTATAAAATAATAGTGTATTTTATTCAAGATAAGAATAGTAGATAACGATTCTGCAGGTTGAACAATTGTACATGTATTGATTAAACGACGAGGCATTGTAATCGAGACAAATTGAACGTCATCCTGTTTGAAATTAACCTTGGATCTCTAAGGGCTGAAACGGGGTAGCGTTGGAATAACAAGGAAGGAGGTCGACGGTTGGAGTAGTTAGGAATTTATTTATTTTATTTTATATTATATTTTATTATATATTTATTTATTTTAGGAATTTATATTATCGCCATCTTCGACATTTTTTTTAACCCTTTGCTCTCGAATGGTGACTCCGAGGCACCACTAAAATTTGTTGTATCACGTTTCAAGATAATTTTTATATTAACAAAATTTTGATTTAAAAGATTGCTAACAGTGCAATTATTGCGCGAGTCCCAAGAGTCAATTTCATTGAAAAAACTGAAATAACATTTGAACTATATTTCTTGGGTGTTAAAAGGCAGCAAACTAACTATAGCATTGTCCTTATTTAACTAAGAATTAAGTACGAAAGTTCTTGGATGACATATCTTAATTTTAGGAATTTATATTACCGCCATTTCATATCTAAGATCTGCGGACGGCATAGTATTAATATTACAAGAGATAATTTTAACAGGTCGATAGTAATGCAACAGTATTTTGAAACTCTCCGAATCTATTCAGGGTTTTTCATTTTATTTTCTGATTTTTCTCGTAAATGCTATAAAATAATAGTGTATTTTATTCAAGATAAGAATAGTAGATAACGATTCTGCAGGTTGAACAATTGTACATGTATTGATTAAACGACGAGGCATTGTAATCGAGACAAATTGAACGTCATCCTGTTTGAAATTAACCTTGGATCTCTAAGGGCTGAAACGGGGTAGCGTTGGAATAACAAGGAAGGAGGTCGACGGTTGGAGTAGTTAGGAATTTATTTATTTTATTTTATATTATATTTTATTATATATTTATTTATTTTAGGAATTTATATTATCGCCATCTTCGACATTTTTTTTAACCCTTTGCTCTCGAATGGTGACTCCGAGGCACCACTAAAATTTGTTGTATCACGTTTCAAGATAATTTTTATATTAACAAAATTTTGATTTAAAAGATTGCTAACAGTGCAATTATTGCGCGAGTCCCAAGAGTCAATTTCATTGAAAAAACTGAAATAACATTTGAACTATATTTCTTGGGTGTTAAAAGGCAGCAAACTAACTATAGCATTGTCCTTATTTAACTAAGAATTAAGTACGAAAGTTCTTGGATGACATATCTTAATTTTAGGAATTTATATTACCGCCATTTCATATCTAAGATCTGCGGACGGCATAGTATTAATATTACAAGAGATAATTTTAACAGGTCGATAGTAATGCAACAGTATTTTGAAACTCTCCGAATCTATTCAGGGTTTTTCATTTTATTTTCTGATTTTTCTCGTAAATGCTATAAAATAATAGTGTATTTTATTCAAGATAAGAATAGTAGATAACGATTCTGCAGGTTGAACAATTGTACATGTATTGATTAAACGACGAGGCATTGTAATCGAGACAAATTGAACGTCATCCTGTTTGAAATTAACCTTGGATCTCTAAGGGCTGAAACGGGGTAGCGTTGGAATAACAAGGAAGGAGGTCGACGGTTGGAGTAGTTAGGAATTTATTTATTTTATTTTATATTATATTTTATTATATATTTATTTATTTTAGGAATTTATATTATCGCCATCTTCGACATTTTTTTTAACCCTTTGCTCTCGAATGGTGACTCCGAGGCACCACTAAAATTTGTTGTATCACGTTTCAAGATAATTTTTATATTAACAAAATTTTGATTTAAAAGATTGCTAACAGTGCAATTATTGCGCGAGTCCCAAGAGTCAATTTCATTGAAAAAACTGAAATAACATTTGAACTATATTTCTTGGGTGTTAAAAGGCAGCAAACTAACTATAGCATTGTCCTTATTTAACTAAGAATTAAGTACGAAAGTTCTTGGATGACATATCTTAATTTTAGGAATTTATATTACNGGTTTTTCCATGAATTCTAGAGAGAGAGAGAGAGAGAGAGAGAGAGAGAGAGAGAGAGAGAGAGAGAGAGAGAAAATGCGTCGCGTTCGCCTATTTACATAGATATGCAACGACGAGGATTTAATGAACGCTTACACGTTTAATTCGAGCAGATAAGAACTGCAAGGTCCGCGGTAACTTCGCTTTTAACGCCATTTTCTCATTATCAATTTTCTTTCAACTTGTCAAGGTGTGTTGTCGCATTCTGCGGTGTTGTTCGAGTCGAGCCGCCGAAAAACATTCGGTTGTTTTTTCGGCGAGCGGTGATCTTTCCTTGAACTTTCATGCAGCCGTTGCAGTCACCCATGCGTCGGTCACCGGTGACCGACACATGACCACGGCGATTACATGCTCTCGCATAATTACTACTATTTTTAACACGTTGAACGCCACGGGGGGGGGGGGGTCACCGGTGACCGGCACTTAACTTGGCGGTGACGTCATGAGGGGCCACCGGTGACCGGCGTGCCCAAATTGATAGAAATATATGTAATT